CATGTGATATGAATCTACTATTTAGTCGTGTCTTTCAATCAACATTTACTATATTTGCCGCTTTTCGATGACATTTAATTGTATTGTAAGTATTTTTCAATTATATTCTAATTGAATATTATTTTTTTTGCGGTCATTATTACTGACATTCAATTTTACATTTAATGAATTTATGAATATTAATGAATTGTTTTTATAACACATGTTATTAACAGAATTTATACATTGAATAGTGGATTCTTTGTGAGTCTTATAATATGTGTATTTATAGTGTATTTCTCATAAATATAAATAAGATTTTTGATGAAATACTAATTATTATCAGCGATAATATAGTCGATAATTCACCACATGTTTTGTTTAATGTTTAATTTAGCACTTTCTTGACATTTTCGATACTAATATATATTTCTTGGATTTTGATTTAGTTGTTAAGTAACAGTGAATGCCATACATATTATTCACATATATTTCCATATCCTATAACTTAATAATTAAAACGTGGGTTTTGTTAGCAATATCCTGATCAAGATTATAATGACAACTTTTATCGCATATTATAATAAATCAAAATTCTATACCAATTATTAAACATTGTGAATTTATTTTATCATCTTAAGTAATGTAACATTAAACATTAGTAATGTTTATATGTATTGATTATACACACAATAATTCACACCATGTTTTTTCGCAAATACCTTGAACAAATATTTATTCAGTAATTGTTATTTTATATGTGAATTGAACTTCAAACCTATTAAATTTATAATTTTGTATAATTTATATGTTGTAAATCAAAACTTGTCAAAAAGGTAACTTTATAACAACTTCTGGTAATATGTTTAATAAATGTCGATTAAATTATAAATATTATGATTGTTATAACAACAGTGTTTGCATTTGTTTAGTAATGAACTTTCAATAACTAATTATACAGTACATTAAAATTCTCGATAATTATCAAAACATTAAATGTTATAAAAATTTATTTCCTTTTAGACGTCGTGTTTAGACAAATACATTATTTAACATGTATTGCAAAACTCAACACAAAAAACAAATGAGTTTTTCGTGTTGAACACAGGCATCAAGTTTTAGGCAAAGGATATCCACTGAGAAAGTGAGATGTGTTTGCATAGCGACTGATCAAGTGTTTTATTTTTAGCTTTTATTCTCACTGTTATATTATTCTTGTAATGTTTGCTTAAAATCTAGACTAAATTTGTTTTTACTTTTTGACTTCATTTCATTGATTGGTTTGAATTTTGTTAAAATTTTATTTTGTGTATAAAAATTCTGTTATATTTTTATAATTTGTTAATTATTAATTAGCTATTGTTTTATACATTGGGTTCTTGACAGTTATCCAACAGTTATTGAATAGTATCCGTCTGTAAAACAATTATTCATTAACAGACAATCACTGAATTTGTTTCATTCATTTTACTAAACGTTTGTTTGCAATGGTATTCAGTGTTTGAAAAAATACACTTTCATTAACTCATAAAATGTAATCACATTTTAAATTTGCTGTGAAATGTCTTTTACACATCAATTAAGTATAGACTTAAAGCTATTTTAAGCGCAGATTCTGTGAATTCTTAGCAATAATACTAATAATATCTTATATTTGTGTGAATATTAGGCCCAGAATTGAGCGATGAATTGATGGCATAAAAGGGCAACAAATGAGTTGCACTATAATAGAGGAGATACCGATCGGGAGGATTGTGGCCAACGATAACGGCCTCTTGAGTACCATCACGAACGGCGTCTACACCAATGAGCACCAGAAACGGATTGATTTTGTGTTAGTCTTCCGGAACAAAGACAATGAAAAGTCCGGTAAAAGTACGGCTAAAGAGCGGCAGATATTTGAGGTATAAATTAGTTTTTTAGATATTTTTGTGAAAATAATTTACTAAATATTGTTTTGATTTGTTTTGCAGACAAATCTCACAGAAGAGGGACTAATACTGGAATACGCGGACAGTGTTGGCAACGATGAGTACACTTATGTGCAAATCTACGCGCCGTGGGATCTGTTGACCAGATATGCGGAAGTGATGAAACTCCGGATGCCTATGAAGACCATCAGATCCAATATGAGAATACTGTTTGACGAAGAATACAGTGCCGATGGTATGGCATTCACGGCGCCGTACACTCGCGATAAGGAGTACTTGTTTGACATACCGGTGACCGATAGGGAGAGGTTCTTCACCAGCAGTCAAAGGGCGCAAATCGTCGAGTTTATTCTCAAACGCAAGAGTTTCTCCGCCAATCCAATGGACGTCTTCTCCATCGGAATCAATAAATTACTTTCAGATGACGTCTATTTGGCCGCATATCCACTGCACGACGGTTTGTATTGAGACAATCATTAATTGTTTTAATTAATTAAGTTTTTTAATTAAATTTTCAATTGATTAAAACCGCAGGAAAACTGAACGAAGACCGAGACTCGATCCGCAGTCAACTGATCCAAGAGTGGGCGTCGCTGTCGTCGTTGACCAGCCGTCAGCCGTTGGAGCGAATCGTGGACTACTTCGGCGTGAAGATCGCCATCTACTTCGCGTGGGTTGGCTTCTATACCCGTATGTTAGTGCCCGCCTCTGTCGTGGGAGTCGTCTGTTTCATCTACAGTGTGGCCACACTCTGGCAGGACGTGCCCACCAATCAGGTGTGCGCCCCGGAGACCGACCTCTACATGTGTCCCATCTGTAAACACAACTGCAATTACACACTACTCTCCCAATCGTGTAATTATATGCGCGGCTCATACCTGTTGGACAATCCGTCCACAATTGTGTTCGCCGTCTTCATGAGTCTTTGGGCCACATTTTATCTGGAAATGTGGAAACGATATTCGGCTAAAATCACCTACAAATGGGATTTGTCTGACTTTGACGCTCACGAGGAATACCCCAGACCTGAATATCTAGTAATTTATTATTATTTTTCACACAATTATTGTTTCACACATTTCTTTGATATTTAGTAAACTCTTTAATTGAAACACAGATTTATGAAAACTATTTAAAATATTATTTAATTTTGTTACACAAAAACACTATTAAAATCTAATCTGAATTTTTACAGGTTATGCAAAACCGCGAAATCAATTATAAGGTTATTAATTGTAGCGTTAGTTTAGTTTAGTATAAATATAGAGATAGTATAGTCTAGTGATACAGTGATACTGTAGTCTAGTTTAGTCTAGTCTTACTCTACGGGAAGAGTGCATAATATAACTAGCAATGAACTTAACCACTGATTCACTCCCATATCAAGGCTCGTGTG